CCACCACGCCCCGCCCTTTTCTTGAAGCGTCACGCCGCCGCCCCGCTCCACGATCAGAGAATAGCTCGCCGGTGTGATATGATTGATGACGCTGCAAAAATTGTCGTTACTTTTTGTATTGATGTCATTTGATAATGCCAGCAGGCTGATGATTATGGTGCGCGGTCGAACAAAACTGATAAAAAGAGGACATAATGAGGGCCCAGCCGTTCAGGTGTGATGCAGCAGCAGCGTGTCGCATGCTGCGGTCCTCGTTTGCCTTGCGTGCTGCGTTGGAGATCGGAAGCGTCCGGTCCGCCGACTGCCCCTCATCTCGTGCGTTGTGCATCAATTGGTGCCATCGCTGCTTTGCGCTTTTTGACGTCGGGTGAATGACTGACTTCCAACAAAAATAATTATAATAAATAAATCTGTACCCGCAACTCCGAACAAAGAGAAAGAACACAACAAAGGTGTTCTACTCTGGAGACCCAACTGTGTACATGCACACACTATTTGCTGCATACATGACCGCATGTACACGCTATTACTTGGTGCGACTTGGTGCATACATGTAGGTAGTCAGCAAATAACACCCACATGTACACAATTGGGTTTCCAAAGTATTGCCCTTTTGGGGGGCGTTATTGTAATTGTGCCTTCACAAAGAGGTTACTAGCTTTGAAATATACTATTGTCGACAATTTTAGTGCCTTTTCAAAGGCACTATGGCAGTAGCGCCTGTAAAAGCACCTTTGTTTTTCCGCAGTAGTGAGGTAGAGTTGGCAAGAATAAAAAGCGCCTGTGGGTTTACAGTGTTGGTAGTTGTCGGAAGGTCTGTATAGTCGTATAGAGAGATCCTATCGGAGATCGCCGTAGGGCTGGGAGCCGAACTGCAGCGATGCTAGGAGTACACACACACGGACACACTGGACACACACACACAGCCCCACGACTCCATTCTCTCGGCTCCCGGCTCGGCGGCGGCGGCGCCGGCCCGTGCACATGTAGGCAGCTCGGCAGCTCGTTCAATGACATGCAGCTAGTCGTGAGAACAGGGCCAACGGCACCGCCATCATCTCGGGGCGGTCGCGTGGCGTGGTGTGGCGTGGCGTGGCGGGGCGGGGCGTGCGCGGAGTCGCGTTCGCTGCACGCGCTGCACTGTGCACGCGCTGCTGCAGCAGAGACTGCCCTAGGTGTCAACATGAGTGACGTGCGAGCGCAAAACGTGTACAATTATTCCGTGGAAAATAAAAAAGAAGGGGAAAATCATGTCGAAAAAAACGTTAAGTTATCAGAGCGGATGACTTTGCTTTCGCACGACAACAACAGGCTTGCAAGCCGCAGTTGGATGCGCGTGCAAGCTGTGCGACCCAGTGGTAGTGGTACTCGTCGGGAAAACGATCGTTCGTCTACGAGGAAGCTGATCCGGCCTGGTGTCTTGGAGTAGGCGCTGCAGTACTGAGGGCAGCGGGAGTGCATAACTTTTGGGGCCGCAGAGACCATGGTGGTGTAGTACAGGCGGACGGAGTCGAGGACGGAGTAGACCGCCATGCAACACTGCAGCGTCCGCTGCAGCACCCGCGGAGCTATACGATACTACACCGCATGCAGGCGTGCGGCCGGGTTGCCTAAGTCGACGGGGGCTCCGAGGTGGCACCCTTTCCTTTCCCACCACCACCACCACCGGTAACGTTGTGAGTAGCTCGGCCTCAGCCACCGCGCTGCGTCACCGATCGAACTCGAACGAACATCGAGCTGTTCGTCATCGCTCGAACACGAACATAAGGAGTTCGGATTCGAAAATGTTCGACTACTTCTCGAACAGAAGTTCGTAGGCGAATAGAATTGAAGAATGTTTCAGAAAGACGCGTTATATATGTGTGTAATTAAGGGGGCAGTGGCAAGTTAATAAAGAATTAGAATTGTAAACGCTAACGGAACTATTGTAAACCAGCATGCATAGCTTTTATAACTCATAAGCAAAACAACAAAATTCAAAAATTGTTCGTGTTTGTTCGAAGTTTTTTTAGACCATATTTGTTCGAGTTCGTTTAAATTCGAACTGGCCTGTTCGTTCATCTCTAGCCGTTCCCCCCGTAGTATGAGGCCTTTGGCCCCGGTGGTTGAGGACGGACCGAAGCGCGGAGCGCCCGCCCGGCCCGCCACACACTCGAGGGGTAGGATGTGTGTCAGACTCTCTCTCCGCGCCGCCGGTAGCCGCGGCCGCCTGCCTGCCTGCTGGCCGCCGACCTGCTGCCCACGACCATCTACTGCCCCCGTCGGTAGCGTAGCCACGTGACTTCTTGGGGGGCGGGGGGGGGGGGGGTGGAGTGGCTCCGCCACTGGCCAAAAGGGTCTGCTTCTGCGTGAGCCCCCCCCCCCCTTTCCCCTCC